TTGAGCATGGTCAACACCATTCCCCGCAATTCATCCCTTGGCCTCGTATCTCTCTATCTAGTTATTATTATTATCGGTATCATTCATCATCAATTCATCATATCACCCTCGTCAGACTCACCTCGTCAAGTCGGCGGGTCTCTGCGACCCCGTGCACTAGCAGCAGAAGCAGAGAGAGTTAGGAAAATCGGCGCGGGTCTCTGCGACCCTCGGTACGCGTAGCAGCAGAAGCAGAGAGAGAGAGGAACAACGAGATCAGCGGCGGGTTCTGCGGACCCTCGTAGCAGCAGCAGAGACAGTTTAGGAGATCGACCGCGGTCTCTACGACCCTCGTACGGCAGCCAGCAGAGACAGGGTGAGGAGATCCGACCTCGGGTCTCTGCGGACCCTCGTAGCAGGCAGTGAGGCAGAAGCAGAGGAGAGCGAGGAGATCGACCGCGGGTTATCTGCGACCCTCTAGCAGGCAGCGGGGAGGAGAGCCAGGGAGATCGGCGGGGGTTCTCGTGACCCTCGTACGCAGTAGTAGCAGCAGCAGAGACAGTGAGGAGATGGCGGCGGTCTCTATGACCCTCTTACGCAGTAGTAGCAGCAGCAGAGACAGTGAGGAGATCGGGCGCGTCTCTGGACCTCGTAGCAGCAGCAGAGACAGTGAGGAGATCGACCGCGGTCTCTGCGACCCTCGTAGCAGCAGTAGCAGCAGCAGAGAGAGCGATGAATCGACGCGGGTCTCTGCGACCCTCGTAGCAGCAGGAGGGAGAGAGCGATGAGATCGGCCGCGGGTTCTCCGTGACCCTCGTACGCGGTAGTAGCGCGGGAGAGAGCGATGAGGATCGGCGCGGGTCTCTATGACCCCCCTAATACGTAGCAGCGCAGCTCGAGAGCGCAACGAGATCGACCCGGGTCTCTACGAACCCTCGTTAGCAGCAGCAGAGACAGTTTTGAGGAGATCGACCTCGGGTCTCTGCGACCCTCGTAGCAGCAGAGGGACAGAGAGCGATGAGATCGGCCGCGGGTCTCTGCGACCTGGTTACGCGGGTAGTAGCAGGTGCGAGACAGGAGAGAGAGGAGCTGATGAGACGATCCGCGGGTCTCTTACGGACCCTCGTAGCAGCGGCGACGAGAGAGCGAGGAGATGACCGCTGGTCTCTGGCGACCCTCTGCAGCATAGCAGCACAGCAGAGAGAGCGACGAGATCGACCGCGGGTCTCTACACCCTCGTAGCAGCATTTAGGGATGAGAGCGATGAGTTGGTGGCGGGTCTCTACGACCCTGTTACGCGGTAGTAGCAGCGGGAGAAGAGCGATGAGATTCGGTGGCGGGTTCTCTATGACCTTCGTAGCAGCAGCACAGAGAGTTTAGGAGATCGGCTGCGGGTCTCTACGACCCTTTGCGTACGCGGTAGTAGCAGGAAGCTAGACAGAGAGGGAGATGAGAGTGATGAGATTCGGTGGCGGGTCTCTACGACCCTTCGTAGCAGTAGTAGCAGCGGCGAGAGAGAGGAGGAGATCGGTCCGCGGGTCTCTACGACCCTTTACGCGGTAGTAGCAGCGAGCATCGAGAGCGCGATGACATCCGCGCGGGTCTCTATTGGACCCTCGCACAAAGCAGTACGGCGGCACCCGGTGACGGGGACGTAGAATGCACGCACGCAGGCACGCACGCACCGGGTCACAGGGACCCTCTCCGGGACAGCGGGAGGGTTAAGCTTCTGTACAGATGAGTTTTTGACATATTCTTTCTCAGCATATTTCAATTTGGACTCTAAGATTATTCTTGTTCATTCTGCCTTCGCTTCTTAGTGGACATATAGGATATAATAAGACCTCTTGAAAAGGCTTTAGATGTTTCCCACAGCAATGAGGGATCATTGGTGGAGACTGAATTAACAGCTAGAAATGATTGAAATTCCTTGAAAAGATATGAATTTGTGGTCTGTTAAGATAGAAGGGTTAAATTTCCAGTGTCTAGTTTGGTTGACTGGGTTCCTTAAATTATATTGTATGAACACAGCAGCATGATCAGAAATAACTATATTTCCTATAGAGCTGGAGATAACTGACTGCAGCAGGATTCTCGGGAGAAAGAAATAGTCAATCCTAGTATAGGATTTGTAAACATTTCAAAATAAAGTATATTCTTTCTCAGCCATGTGTTGGGCTCTCCACACATCTATATAGTCTAGGTCTTCACAAAGTGCTGCGACAATCTTGGTTTGAGGTGAAAATGATAATTTTCTAGGTGGGGATTTGCCCATAATAGGATTCAAATGGCAATTAAAATCTCCTCCAATAAACAAGTTTCTGATATTAAGATCTATCACTTTAGAAAAAGAACAAGGAAGGAGGTCACTTGGGTATCCAGGTGGGTTGTAAATATTCATTATAGCAATTTCTTCCCCATGAAGTGTGCCTCTCACAATCACGTAGCAACCTGCTGTGTCTTTTGTACAGTCTAGAAGTTTGAATGGTACATTCCTCCGGATTAAAATGGCCACACCTCTACTCCTTGAAGTAAAAGATGAATAATAAACCTGTCCAAAACCTTCCTGTTGTAATTTCAGATGTTCGCTGTCGTTTAAATGTGTTTCTTGCAACAGCGCTATGTCAACACATTCCTTCTAATCCTTTTAAGATAAGTTAAGATCTTTTTCCGTTTGACAGGTGTATGGACACCCTTTACGTTCCAAGTGCATAGCTTCAAAGCTGACGTGATCATGGGTTATGAACTAAAATATTGCCTGAACACATATCGCCTGTAATGTAATTTATAACAGAGTGAGCCAAATAGAACCAGAACATAACATTATAAAAAATATAACAAAAAACAGTGCCTCTAAGGCACCTCCTGCCTAACATTGGCATAAAATATACACACTGTCCTTCTCCTAAACTTAGAGGAGCTTGAGTGAAAGGGTTCTCTAGCAACAAAAGAAAGATAGCTATCCGGGAGGTCGGGAGGCATTGCTTATAATGATCCTACAGAGCTAACAAACAGACTCAGTGCTCCAAATCAAGTGCAATGCATATTCATTGTCTAACTACAAAACTCAGTGAAAGTCCAACAAATCGGTTGCTCAGTATGAAGACTATTGAAGGGGATATCCTTCAGCGACTGGACATATTTCTCCACAGCAGCTGGGTCATGAAACTTCTTGGTGGATCCGTGATAGGTGACTCTCAGTGACACGGGGTAGACTTGCCTGTAGTCAGCACTGTGCGCTCTCAGCTGCTTCTTCACTCCATTGTATCCCTTTCTCCTGCGGATAACGGATGCTGAAAAGTCCTGAAATATCATCACTGTCGCGTCTTCATATTTCAGCATTTGGTTTTTCCTTCCCATTTCCCACGCTGCATTCATTACACGTTGTTTATAGATCCTCTGTTCAGCCTCGGTTATGCACTTTTCATAGCTGTCGAGCTCTTCTCTGTGTATTTTTTAGAGCCCTGACAGTGGGCCTTGTTTATCGTCGATGACTTTGGAGATGTTAGCTGTAATTTCACCCACTGCTTCACGAAGTGCCAGTAAGCTAGCCCCGGCTCCGGTGTCGGTAATGGTGCTAGCTCCTGCGTGGGCTTTGCCAACCTGTTGGTTATGCTCAACATCATCAGGAGCTTGATTTTTCTTACGTGGCATGCTGTCGGATTGTCCCAAAAAGTAACTGTCAATGTTCATGAAAATCTTAATCAAATGAACCATTAAGAGGTTGGAGTGCTATTTTTGTAGGGTTAAATGAAGAAATTAGTTAATTCGTGCACCAGCTCTCCCGAACGTGACCATCTCTCACGCTGCCATCTTGAGAACCTCTGTTTGCCCACTTTTGGATTAGCCAGGAGCCAGTGGAGTCAGGACTGCCTATATGGTGACGGCCACAGCCGACCACGCTGGGCTTCAGACTAAGTCCATTTTTCTTCATACAGTCTATGGTCTCGACAAGGAGCATGTGGTGCTGCCTATCCGTTCAGCCTGAGGTCTGTCTGTCAGGAAGTTGAGGATCCAGTCACACAGGACGGTGAGAATGTGAGAGCGATTGATTTCACTGCTGGCCTTACTACCTGCCTTTAGTTCCCACTCTGCTTTTGTCACCTGGAGGGTTACTAATTGCACCCTGCCAAGTGGCACAGGCCCATCCATCACTCTTCATCCTCCCTCTGGGCCAGGAGTGGGTGGCACTGCCAATCTTAAACCCACACTGAGAGACATTTACTGTTGTCTGTCTGAGCCCCTCTCTGTCTGTAAATTTCTGCTCCTCCACATCTGTAGTTAATAAAAGCAGGGGGCATACTGCTTGATGAACGTCCCATCATGGAGCATTAGCAAGTGGGCACCAGGCTTGTGCTGTGACACCATCCCCCCTGCCGGCAGCACTTCCCTGTATCCACCTCATTGGGTAATAATTACAACCATCCTCCCATTCACAGCAGTTAAACAAGAACTTGGAAGGGTAAAGTGGCTTTGGCATGTTGTTTTTTTCTGCCTCTGGCATATTGATTGAGGCTTAATGATGGTATCGGCAAAGCCATTGAAACAAAGACTCTATGACCTTAAGCAAATGGCCTTGGTGCAATCCAGGAGAAATTAGCATTTCCGATTTCCCTCCCTGAAAAAGGCAGTAAGCTTTTACACTACATGCCACATTCGCCCTTTTACACACATTCACTCAGTGATGGCAAAGCCCATCAAACAGAAGCTAACTAACGCATTCATTTCACATTCACACACCCATGCACAGCATCAGGAGCAATTCGGGGTTCAGTATCTTGCTCAAGGATACTTCGACATGTGGCGGGAGGAGCCAGGGATCGAACAACCTTCCGATTAGT